CTAAACAAACCTACCACAAAGCATGATGATTAAGAGAAGAAATAGGAAAGGGAATATTTTAGAGATACTATCAAGCAATCATCATCAAGCTTCAGGGAGAAGTTGGTTAAAGAAAACCAGAAAATAACAGATGGTAAAAATGCCGCAAGCCTGAGTGGCACAGTGTCTTGGGTTCAGCAGAAGCAGTCATTTTCTCCTTCATAGCAGCTGGTGCAGTGCTGTCTTTTTGACTTTCAGCCTGGGAACAGCGCTGATAACACCGATGTTTTCAGTTGTTGCTCTGTAATGTTTACTCTGACCAAGGACTTTCTGAGCCTCATGCTCTGCCAGGAGGAGGGGAAGCTAGGAGGAAGCAGAGACAGGACACCTGACCCAAGCTAGCCAAAGAGGTATTCCATACCACAGCAAGTCATACCCAGTGTATAAACTGGGGGCAGTTACCTGGAATAGTAAGATCACTGTTCGGTCGGCCTGGGTATCGGTCAGCGCGTGGTGAGCAGTTGTATTCTCTTCCCTTGTTATTTCCCTTATCATTATTATTATTGGTGGCAGCAGTAGTGGTTTGTGTTATACCTTAGTTACTGGGCTGTTCTTCTCTCAGCCCATGGGAGTTACATTCTTTCAATTCTCCTTCCTATCTCTCTGAGAGCGGTGGAAGGAAGCGGGGGGGGAGCGAGCAAGTGGCTGCGTGGTTCTGGGTTGCCAACTGGGCTTAAACCATGACACACAGTTGTGGCTGTGTCAACTGTGGTGAATGAGAAATAAGAAGGAAAAAGAAACAGTTTATTTTCCTGTCTAAGAGATGTCTAGTTTAAGAACATAGGGACTCCTCAGGAAGACATTTATGAAAGACAGCCAAAAATTCACTCATGCCACTACTGACCTGAAGCCAGTCTGAGCCAGTAACCTAGGGGCAACTGTCTTACACTTTCGACTGCCAGTCTTCTGAGGTATCCAGTCTTTAATTTCTGGTTTCTAGCACTGCTCAGTTTTCACATTGTGTTTCACGGGTTTTTTTTCTATTTTTTCGTCTAAGATTTGACCTTGTTTTCTGAGAAGTTACTTTTATTCTATTTTCCTAGTACTTGCAGTCTCTTGTGTAGCTTAATTTTAATCTTTTTTCATAGGTATTCATATATTATTTTTCTTTTTTTCACTGCGCATAGCATGAGATGTTCATCTTTTCAGCTTCTTTCTAATAGACGAAGCTTTACTAGAATAGCAAATATAACTCTGCTCAACAAGATTCTTTGAACACCATGAATCATTCAGGAAATACTACAAATGCCATTTATTTTCTGGAAGTATTTGCACAAAATTAAATAGGCCTGATTGGCGAATCCCCATTAAATACTTTAATGACCATTTCATACAAAAAGGAAGGATATGTGTAGTTTTCAATTCTTATTTCTCCTTTATTACGGTCTCACTAAGTGACACACTGGGGTTTGTTTGTTTGCCTGGAGAGTTTTGGGGTTTCTTTTTTTTTTAGAACCCTTATCCTAAAACTCAGGCTATCTTAAGAAAACTAACAGCAAGGGAAGGGTTACTTCAGATGTTTATAGTATTCTTAAAACAACAGTTACCAAAGTAGTATATGTTTTCTGCCTTCCACCCAGAGGACTTCATCCATATTAGATCCTGGAGACTGCCAAAAATCCATGAAGTAGTTGATAGAAACCTTGAGAAAACAGTCTCTTCTACTTAGGGGGGAGAATGGAATAGTAGTAGGTAATATCTGAGTGAGTTTAAAATCTGTATGATACATATCATCAGCTCAAACAGCATCACCTATATTAAGTTCCATAGAGACAGTATCATCAGTGGATTACTCTCTAGTCACAGGCTTAAGAAATTACATGTATTTTTTTCCAGCAATATAGCTTCGGCACTTTCTGTAACAAAGAGATACTTGCCAAAGTAATGCTCTCAAGATGTTATTCATGAAAGCCACACGGTCAAAGTGTCTCTCACATCTGACATCAGAATTAGGGGTCTATGGCTGCCTATTAGTCAATGAAGGACATTTCATCTCGCTTTGAATGCTTCAAATCTATCCTATTCCTTTCCTAGGTATATAAATTCGAAAGGGAATGGACATGAATAATTCTTGATGGCAAGAGCTGTATCTGCATTCATTCCAGACAGCACAGAAAGTGTTTAGAAAAGGAATTCATAGCAATGTGCAATAAGAGTGGTCACACAGCCATTTCAGTGTCTGCAGTGACAGACACAGTGTCTGCCTTCAGGCTAGGACAGTCAGCAGAACACAGACCACGAACAGGATGTTGTTGAATAACACTTAATTAACCTAGCACTTATTATGCTTCACACTAGGAATGAGATTTGGAGCCTTAAAACATATTTTGGTTATGTTGTCTTTCAATGTGGTTTTGTGCCTGAAGCTGTTATAAGTAATGTAGGTCACAGCACTGATGACCTTTAGAATTGCCTTTATCTTCTGTATTGACTTTAGTTTTTGAATTAAAAAAAAAAAAAAATAAGAAGAAAGCAGAAGAATCTAGGAAATACATTCATGAATGTTTATGTATACTGGTTTTCAGTATTAGGGATTATACACATGAATATTCCTGTATAACAAGGGAGTCTTGGGTGACATGGTTTAGTGTGTCGTGTCCATGCCCATGGCAGGGGGGTTGGAACTAGATGATCTTAAGGTCCTTTCCAACCCTAACCGTTCTATGATTCTATGATAGTCATGTGTGCCAATGAGCATTAAAAAAGTATTTATCTATATATTAGCCGCAGGTGCCTGTTTTGTTCATGGAAGGATACGTATGTTTATTTTTGGGCTAATAAAGAAATGAAATGGGGCATTTACAATTTAGCTCCTACTGACAATATTTAATTAGTTCCCAATCATCAACTGATCTTATTCTATGAAACTCTACCATCTGTGTATTTTGTAAATGGCACTAACAGTCTTCCTATGTCCGAGCATTAACTCATTTTTCCATTTTATTGCTGCCAAATTTCATAGAATTGTTAGAGCTCTAGTCATAGCTCTTCAAAGCAAGGAGGCTAAGATACAGTTTATAACACTGCTAGAGTTCACTGTCCAGAAGTGCGCACCTTTATTTTGTGTTAAGGCATGTGCCTGAGGACACCTGGGCTGGGAAAGTGGGGCAAGGAACTGCTTTACCTACCTATTTACATTAAGAAGCTTAATGGCTTCTTATAACTAACCACAGAGAAAGACACAGACAATGCCCTTCAGTCTCAAAGAGCTTTAATTCAATCAGGAACAAATAAAAAGGTTTTGTAATGCTTTTCATTGAAAGTTGTCTGAAATTAATGGAAAGGTTTATGACTCTAACGATATTTAGGGCAACTTCTTAAAAGAACTGAAATGCATCTTTTAAAATTATGCTCACTATTTTCTGAATGTGAGCCATTGTTCCCTCTATGTGTATATACAAGGTGAGGTTTTCAGCATAAACCTGGACTCAAGTAGCATTGCTTACTAAAGAAACTCATGCTCCTAAATTCTTTGGTGCACTCTCACTCAGCTGTACCCTCAGAAGCTGGAATATTTGCAAATACCTAGCAAAGTTTTCACATGCAGGTATGACTTCTGATGAACCAAAAACAATTAAGAAACAAAAATAGAAATGAAAGTTTAGAGGGTGTTTGACGAGTTGTCCTGGGTTCAGCAGTAGCAGTCATTTTTCTCCTTCTTAGCAGCTGGTGCAGTGCTGTCTTTTTGACTTTCAGCCTGGGAACAGCGCTGATAACACCGATGTTTTCAGTTGTTGCTCTGTAATGTTTACTCTGACCAAGGACTTTCTGAGCCTCATGCTCTGCCAGGGAGGAGGGGAAGCCGGGAGGAAGCAGAGACAGGACAGCTGACCCAAGCTAGCCAAAGAGGTATTCCATACCACAGCACGTCATGCCCAGTATATAAACTGGGGGCAGTTACCCGGAAGGGCTAGATTGCTGCTCGGTCGGCCTGGGTATCTATCAGCAGGTGATGAGCGGTTGTATTCTCTTCCCTTGTTATTTCCCTTATCATTATTATTATTGGTGGTAGCAGCAGTGGTTTGTGTTATACGCTAGTTACTGGACTGTTCTTATCTCAACTTGTGGGAGTTACATTCTTTCAATTCTGCTCCCCGTCCCTCCGGGAGTGGGTAAGGGAGGAAGGCAGGGAGTGAGAGAGCGACTGCATGATTTACAGCTGAGCTTAAACCACGACACTTGTTTCTCTTTTGTGACTGCATTATATTTTCTGTGGCTGCGGATCATTAAACCATAGAATCATAGAATCTTAGACTGGTTTTGGTTAGAAAGGACCTTAAGATCATCTAGTTCCAGCTCCTCTGCCGTGGGCAGGGACTTCTCCCACTGGACCAGGTTTCTCAAGGCCCTGTCCAGCCTGGCCTTGAACACTACCATCGACTGAGCATTCTCAACTTCTTTGGGCAACCCATTCCAGTGCCTCACCACTCTCACAGCAAAGAACTTCTTCCTTATATCTAACTTGAACTTCCCCTGTGTAAGTTTAATCCATTACCCCTTGTCCTATCACTACAGTCCCTGATGAAGAGTCCCTCTCCCGCATCCTTGTAGGCTCCCTTCAGATACTGGAAGGATGCTATGAGCTCTCCATGCATCTTCTCTTCTCCGGGCTGAACAGCCCCATCTTTCTCAGCCTTTCTTCATACAGGAGGTGCTCCAGCCCTGTGATTATCCTCATGGCCCTCCTCTGGACTTACTCCAACAGCTCCATGTCCTTCTTATGTTAGAATTACGAGAAATATACACAAAACTCCAAATGAGGTCTCACGAGAGCAGAGATGAAGTGTATGGTATAACCACGTGAGCAGTTTTGAAGCATATGATAGTTCAAAAGCATAAGAGCTTGTCACCAGCTTCTACATCTTTAGTATTGTAGAAGTATTTCCTGAATTTATCCCCATCTAACAGACATCAGTTTCATGTTATTTCTGAACCTTGGCCCTCTTTCTCTCTAATTGCAGGATGAAGGGAAGTGCAGACCTCTGGAAGTAACAAAGCTGGAAGGAGCAGAAATTGGTGTTGACACCAGTCTAGGTAAACCATTTGTTTTTAAATGCGTACCTCAAAGTGGAAACAGGATTTTCTATTTTTGTGCAACTTCCAACCAAGAAATGAAGAGGTAAGTGATCTTTCATTTACAGGGTCTGTTTTGTTATTCTGGTTTGGGGAGAGAGAGTTTGAATTTTTAGAGGATGTTCAGAATACCTGCCTTTATCAGCAGGAAAAAAATAAACAAATCTGTCAACCGTTTATGGGAAGATAGTGTTTCTAATTTTAATTTGCAGAAGTTTCAAAAACTGTTTTTCAGTTTCATAGTTATTTTTATGTTTTTTTTAATTAAGGCTTTAATATTCATGCTTTGCTCGAGATGCCCCTGAATTTCTGATTTACCTCCAAAAAAAAAAAAATTCACCCATCTTCTCATACCTTCTTCTGTACTGTTATATCAAAGGGATATATTTAAATCTTCCTTGTGGATGTAAACTTGCTTATCTGTCATTTCACATGAACAATCTCTCTTTTGCCCAACAAGGACAGTGTTAGAAATAAATACAATATCATCTTCCATTTATTCTGCTGTCATTCTGCCATATTATTGTTTTGGTATGTTAAAATGCAAGTATGCCCAAAAAGCGTACTGGTTCTTGTGAGAGTCAGTGAGTTTGGTTTGACTCAGAGTTAGACCTAAAAAATACTCTTTTTGCATTTGCTATCCACTGTAGCTGATAAAACAAAGAGATTTAAATCATCACCCAAAACACACGTAACAACTTTTTTGAGACTTATTTTCTGAGATTTATCAATGTTTGTTTCGATTTAATACACAACTTTTCTATCTTGAAGCCTTGAATGTGTCCTGAAAATTGCACATCCGCTAGATGCTGTGTCAGTAAGATTTAAAAGAGGCAGTGAAGCACATTTATTCTGCTCTACCAAGCTAAGCAGTTCTCATATTTTTTTTCATGTTATAGGTGGCTGGAGGCTATGGATAAAGCAGTGCATCCTGTCCATCAGGTAATGCTTTATTTATATTAAAAGCATGTGTATAGCAGATTGTGCAGAAGACTGAGAGACAATAAATACATTTGTGCATGCTCAGGCACAGACAGCAACATTGGAGCTGCATACTTTTTGCTGCTGGGACGTGAATCAGCTCCAATCTAGAAGCCATATACAGACATTATTGTGACTCAGCTTTACTGTCATAAGATGGAGTCAGATGCTCCCTCTCCAGATATCAGCAGCTTTAAGGTGGTTCAAAACCATAACCTAAGATGACAGTAATGGAAAGACAGGAATGGGAGCAATGACTCATGTCCACATGATCTTCTCTGGGTGATACTATCTGGAGCAAAGTGAGAGAAGGGGTCTATCTTTCTAAGTATTTTCTGCAAGTCTGCCTTGGTTGCAAGCTACCTGCTTTTTCAGACAGAATATTAGAATGGAGAAGGGGTTTGCAGAGTTATTGTGTATTTTCAGAGATGAAGAAAGGTAAGTTAGTTGATAAACTTTGACTTATCTCTCTATCTCTTTATATACACTCTGCTCGCCCCTATGGCTGGGAGAAACATAGCCATAATTGATCTTGAGCTGTCCCAGAGAGACCTTGCTCACCTCAGCATAATTTAGTATGAATAATCCTGTCTGGCCCCTGAAGAACTGCAAAGCTAATTTTAGTACTTCCAGGGTTGAAGCATAGGGGTCAAAGCCACTTTAGCCTGCCCTTTCCTGACCCCATGATTCTTATCCTGTCCTATAGGCAGAACATCTTTATAAAAATATGATGTTGACCTGTAAAATCTTTTTTAAAAAAGGTTTAGCTACTGAAACAGCTTGGTTTTTAGCAGAAATGATGTGAGGCACAAATGCAGGGAAAGTATCAAAGTCTGCCCTTTTTGAAATAAAATCATCAATAATAAAAAAATACAAGGTAAAAATTATAACCTGAATTAATGCAGTAAGTAAGTAAATAGATACATGAAAAGAAATCTACTTTCCTCCTCTTAAGTCAGGGCACATGTGTGAGTCCTTCAGCAGCGTGCTTTAGTGATGGGTTTCCAAATAGTGAAAGGAGGTGTTTACTGTAATTCCTTTTCCACTGAAACAAAATTGATCCAACATACATTTCTTGTGGCTTCAGCTTTCAGATGAGATTGTAAGTCCAAAACCGAATTTGTTTCAAAGTATATTCTACCTGGCAGTCTTTCTTAAAAGAATAAAAAGGAACCCACATACATTAAAGCAGCAAAAATAAATCAAACAATGTAAGGCATGTACCTTAGCTAAAAGAAACAAGAACCAGCCTAAGCCAAAAACGAGGATAAAGAGGAGGAAAAGAAAACACATCAAAAGAGTAATTCTTTAGTGTAACATACTGTCCTGGGTTCAGCAGTAGCAGTCATTTTTCTCCTTCTTAGTAGCTGGTGCAGTGCTGTCTTTTTGACTTTCAGCCTGGGAACAGCGCTGATAACACCGATGTTTTTAGTTGCTGGTCAGAATGTTTACTCTGATCAAGGACTTTCTAAGTCTCATGCTATGCCAAGGGAGAAGGTGGGAGGAAGCAGAGACAGGACACCTGACCCAAACTAGCCAAAGAGGTATTCCATACCACAGCAAGTCATGCCCAGTATATAAACTGGGGGCAGTTACCTGGAATGGTAAGATCACTGCTCAGTTGGGCTGGGTATCGGTTGGCAGGTGGTCAGCGGTTGTATTCTCTTTCCTTGTTATTTCCCTTATCATTATTATTATTGGTGATAGCAGCAGTGGTTTTGTTATACCTTAGTTACTGGACTGCTCTTATCTCAACCTGTGGGAGTTACATTCTTTCAGTTCTCCTCCTCATCCCTGTGGGAGTGGGTAGGGGAGGAAGGGGGGCAGTGAGAGAGCAACTACATGGTTCTGAGGTACTCCCTGGACTTAAACTATGACACGTGCAAAAATAACTTACCAGATAACTATGACACGTGCAAAAATAACTTACCAGATAACTATGACACGTGCAAAAATAACTTACCAGATAAAAAGTTCCATTACATATACAGAAAGATCTCTCATGGATTCTTATTAACAACGCAGTAAGTTTCCTCCTTTCTGCGCTACTGCATCTTATTTTTAATTGCTTTACTTTTTTTAGTTTTGCCTTTGAGAAAACAATATCCTCTTCTGAAGGAAATGTTTGATATAATATGCCAGTTTCATTGCCTAACCTCTGTTCTTAATAATCACTATATCTGTTGCTTCCTTCTAGCTGGACTTTCCATTCAGTTGAGTAGGAAAAAGCTTTTTTTTTTTTTTTTTTTTGTTCTAGCTGACTTTTTGCAATAACTAGTGTATTACAGTAGCGCTCACAACACAATATAACAGGCCAATATACTGACACTATGTCACCTGAGTGAATATTTAGGATAACTATTTTAGGAATACACCTAGTGTTACTGAATGCCTTTTCTGCACTTTTCTCCAAGTCCCAGCAGGTTGCCCATTCATAGCAAAGAATTAAATTAGCTATATTGTGCCAGGCCTTCTTTTCATCATTGCCTTGTCAAATACCGTAAATAAATGCAAAAGAAACCCGCTGTGGAAACAAACAGGATGATATTCATATTGCACACATTCTCCCCATGGATTTTGAATGACAGTGACACTGGTTGATGTAGAACCCAAAATATGTATTGCAGATGAGCAAAACACACTAGGAGAGTCTGAGTTCCTAATGCCGGTCAGATTTTAAGGAGATGAAGAAATGCTTTACTTTCATATTGGAAATTTGGTCTTACTAAACAACAGGGTTTTGGGTTTTTTTTCTGATTTTCTTTTTTGATTCTCTTATTGTACAAATGGCCCATACAGTGGCAATATTTCATGGGCTGAGTTTTTTCTTCACATCTAAATGACAATGGGAAAATTTTAGTAATGAAAAAGTCTCTGCTTTCCGGAATGGCATGGGAAGGCATCTCTAAACACTTTATGTGTGGTAGTGCTTCCATCCAAGTCTGAGTGCTGTATTATGGCTTCATAGGGCAATATTTGCTCTGGAGCCCAGAGGGTGGATGCTGGATTTTGTCTTCCCTGCTACACACCGTAAAGACTGCTGGATCAGTCTTTAATTTGGAAATCAACAAGACAGTTTTATAAAAAAGCTTCTTCAGACGATTTTGAAATAACCCTATTTTTACCAGCAGAATTTGTACTGAAAAACAAAATAGATGCAAGAAAAGATGTTATCATTGTAAAAACAAAGTAGATTATCACCATTTCCCATCAAATACAGGTTTTTCTAATTGCATTTTCAGCACTGACTTTTGCTGTGGTTTAACTCCAGCCAGCAACTGAGCAATACACAGGCACTCACTCACTGCCCTGGTGGGATGGGGGAGAGAACTGGAAAAGTGACAAAACTCATGGGTTGACATAAAGACAGTAAATCAAAAGCCACACACACAAGCAAGAGAAGGAATTCATTCACCACTTCTCATGGTCAGGCAGGTGTTCAGCCATCTCTGGGAGAGCAGGGCTCCATCACAGGTAAAGGTTAATTGGGAACAGTAACACCACCACTCTGAACACCTCGCTATCCTTCTTCTTCCCCCAGCTCTATGTGCTGAGCATGAAACGATCTGGCAAGCAATACCGATAGATTGGGGTCAGCTGTCCCATCTGTATACCCCAAAACTCGTTGTGCACCCCCAGCCTGCTTGCTGGTGGGGTGGGGTGAGGAGCCGGAAAAGCCTTTCCTTTGTGTAAGCACTGCTCAGTAGTAATGAAAACATCCCTATACTGTCAGCTGTTTACATCACAAATCCAAAACACAGCCACATACCAGCTACTACAAGGAGCTTATTATCACAGGCAAAATCAAAACACTTTTCAAATTATTTTCACAACAAAAGCTGATTTCCTAGCACTGAACTGGAGATTGTGTCTTACCGTAACTAGCAGGGCTTCCTTAAACCTTGCCATAAATATTTCTTACATGTTTACTTCACAGAACCATGTGTGGGTAGATGTCACACTGCATAACACTACGCTTCCACCCTTGGCTATCAAAAACCCGGAGTGCCTGGGGCTTCTCCACCAGCTGCACAGAAGCAAAGACACCTGGATTCAGCACTACTGCATTCTGAAGGATGGCTGTTTGTATTTTTATGCCACTCTCCGGTCTACACCTGCCCAAGGTAGGGACAGCTGCTGGATTCCAATTGATTGTTAAAGGGGAAATGTTTCACTGCATTTCCCAAATAGAACTTTTACCATTAATGGCTGTTTCTTCTTAGCAAACTCACTCTCTTCCATGAAGGTGAGTGAAGGAAGACCAGTCTCAGTCTTTTTTCATAAAATAGCCACTTCATTCCCCCCGAATATTCTTTCTTTTCTGTGCCATGGTCTGCATTTTTCTTTCGGCAATGGAGGTAATTCAGATCTGTGCACATTACCCCAGGAGCAAGTGTCAGAGAAAAGATCCACCCTTCCAAAGTACTTTACAGTGGTTGAGCCAGCCCTATTGATGGCAGTCCAATGACAGCTATCAATTCCGGTGTGTCAGGAAGCATTCTCAGAGGGAGGGACAGCATAAACTCAGTTTCCCTGCAACTACCAGGTTTTCACATGGCCTTGGCAAAGCTAGTCCATGCAGCAACAGGTAGAATGTCCCTACACCAGCAGAGGCTGGTGCTCCAGGGTTTGGGCTGAAGATCCCATCTAACTGCTCTCCCCATAACAGAACTGGGTGTCTATCCACTCTCTGAAAGCAGCAACATGAGGCTACCTAGATCAGCTGCAAGTATAGAGGAGATGAATTGCAGGCACTGAGGAGAGCTTGCAAATACAACTCTATTTTACATATAAACGCTGTACAACTCTGTTGAAACACCCAGCACAAGGCATCTGAGAATCCACCTTGCAAGAATTGTTGCTCTGCTTGTAATTGGCAGTAATTTCATAAATGGTGTCTGCGATATACATGATGATTTTATTCTGTTTAGGTGGCCTTTACCTCCAGGGTTATACTGTGAGTGAACAGTCGCTGGGCTCCAAGAGGTCTGTAATTGAGCTCAAACCTCCATCTGAAGAATTTAAAACTTTCTACTTATGTGCAGAGAATGTAAATGAAAACAAAAGGTAAACCAAACTTTCCGTACACACACAATTTTATTTGCCAGTCTTTAGGACAGCAGGAACACTGCAGCTTGGGAAGATCTAGTGAAAACTTTTCATTCTGTTTCACTTCTTCCCCCAGATTTCCCTTTGCTTGTAGGTTTAGTCAAACTGCAGTACAGCATGCTGGCACATGTGAGTCATCTGCTATTGTCAGTGCTGCAGCTACAGCAAGGATAGCTTGCAGACGTTCAGAAAGAAACCGGAATAAGGTGCTTTTCACAATGATATGTGGGTGTTTACAGTAAACATAAAAGCTATGGTACCTCTCATGAGAGAAAATGGAAACTATATTCTTCTCATTCTCAAGAATGATTTACTTCCAACAATTAGACCATTAGAAATAAAAAAAAAATTGGCCTATGAAATCATATTCTGAAGGTGAATTCCCTCATCATAATGCAGCCAAATCCTATGTCTTTCAGTGGGTGTTAGTCTCATCTAAAGCCTACTAATGAAGTGATATGGGGTTTAATTTAATGAAAAAGGACAAAGCTTTTCAGTATGTTGGAAATCAATGTTAAGATATGCTGTTGTTATAGTCAACTCCTCCACCTCCTGTGCCTCTCCAATCCACTTACTATTAGTGTACATAGTAACACAGCCGTATAACACCATTTATAAAAGGTGTGTTTCAAAGAATATAAAAATGCTTGCATAACATTTGATCAGGAACAGTTGTTGGTCTTTCATTTCTTCTAGGTGGATTACAGCTTTGAAAGCTTCAATTAATAAATGGTTACCGCTACACCAAGCAATCCAAGATTTTATGAATAGACCACTGGAGGAGACAAGGATGTGAGAAGAAAGATTATTTTCTTCCCTCAATTTCTGTTTCCCATTAAAAATTCCATGCTACATTTTAGGATTCATCGCAAAAGATAATCTAGCAGCAATTAATGTTTAGCATCGCTATACATTCAGAACTTTTGTAAGCATTAGTAAATAAACATAAAGCAACATCGTCTTCTTTGTGGCTGTCTCTATTTTGTGTTTCTACTTCAACTCAGACTAAGCATAAAGTCTGCTTTATAGCAGTGAACAGACATCAACATTTATCTGATATGGAGAAAAGAGAAAGCACTGTATTTCAACATATACTTTGTACTTCTTGATGGTTTACACCTGTAGCCTTTGCAAAAACTTTTGCTTTTTCATCCAGAAATTTCATATGTGGATTTTTCCTTAAAGTCTTTATATGGTGTGAGGCTGAAAGTTGGGACAGGCTGGGCTGACTGAAAGGTTAGCAGCTACATACATATTGCAGCACACCTGGGGGAACAGAATAAATTTGTATGATTTGGACGAATATTATTGTTCTGGTACATTCTCACTTAACATAAGTTTTAATTTTACAGCAATTCCGATTCAGCCATCTGCTATCACAGCACAGTACAGTTGTGGAGAGAAATCAATTCACAAATTAAAGACAGTTTCCTCCAAAGGTAGCAGTAAGAGACAGCACCATAAATCTTCATCAGGCATCACAGGGTTATACATCTGTAGTTATTACAGCCAATCATATAGATAGGGCTTAACATTATTCTATAACGTTAAAATAATCCCTTCCATGAATAAATCTGGGTTTTCAGTTTCCAAGCTTCCCAAAATACTAACTTAATAAAGTAACAAATGTTAGTTCATTTATTTATTGAAGTCATGGGGTAACTAAATATCTCATCCCCAAAAATGTACAATTTAATGCTGCAGCAAGGTACAGAAGTGAAAAGAATACACACCCAACATGGATAAAAGATTTTCTAATAAAGCCTTGGTCTTCTTATCACAGTCCATTGACCTTAAGAACATTAGAACACACCAGAACCTCTACTACTTGCTTGCTGTTATTATTAGCCTGGGAAATATTATACATACGTAATAAAAAGGTAAAAGCAAGTGATGCTCCCCCAGTCACCACAAAGGTGTTTTCTTAGACTGATTAGTTTTAGATGCTCAAACCAATAGAAAGCTGTTAAACAGTTGAAATGGTTTCGTACAGTGATTTGAGTTATTTAGTTCAAAAATGAGAATGGTTGGTTAAACAGTGCAACCAATTTTCTGGAAATTGAAAACAGGCACTCAACCCCAAATATGTTAATGCACTTGCTTTGTATAAATCTGTGCTCTGAGCAAAAATATATAACTGAATTTGAAAACAAACAGTCATCACAGTCATATTCTACATCTATTGCTAGTATTTTGAAATTTTTGTGTTCAGAAATAAAATTTGTATATCTGCTACAATTCTGAGAACAAGTAATGAAGTAGGTATAAATTACTTAATTTTCTTCTTGCTCTTTTCCACACTGGAGAAAATAACACATGTGGGTCAAGTACAAATGCTGTGGACTTGAGATTAGTAACGTTTCCTAAGGAATATTTACCCAATTCAGAGTGGTAGTTCAGAGCTAAGCAGAAAAACAATAGGCAAAACAAACGCCAACATAATGAAAGTGTGTTTCCCAGTTTGCCATTTGGAAAGCAAACAAACAAACAAACAAAAACCAAATAAATAAAACCAACAACAAAACCCAAACCCCAAATATTTAAATGAGCAGAGGGGCATCTCTCTAACACTAAAAGCATAAACAGAAGTGCTTGTTTTTTTAAAAAAATACTTAAATAGTAATTAACTGAAACACTTCTGGTGATGCCCAGGGCACAACAGAAAACATGAGTTTGTGAACTTAAAGAGCATCATTGTTAAATTTATTAAACAAAAATGTCCAAGGACATATCGGTCTTGCATCATAATGTTGTGTTTTTGTCATTGATGCATCCTCTCTCCAGTTGCAGCAGTAAACTGCATAAACTGTGGCAGTTTAGCTGTTTTTACCCCTAGGTGTTTGCTGCCATTCTCACTTGAGGAATACATGTTAAAATGACACATTTAATGATCCAGAAGAATTGTGTGATAGTTCTTCATTTTCCCTCATGCAAAGTCTGTTGGCATAGTTTAAATGACTGCTGGCAGCTTTACCTTTACCTTCACACGAAAAAGCGCTGGGATAAGAGTGAGAAAACAATTCCACCCTGAGAAATGAAAGTCTTTCTTGGCCTTCCCACGAGTGTAAGAAAGAAATACACTCTTTGCCTGAAAGAACATGAAGTAGAATGTTACTTTTTCCAGACTTCAAGTTGTTTCAGTAATTTCACTAATGGTCTTTATACTTACAACAATTCAGATGGGAACTCAAGGAAGTAGGTTGGAAATATTTCTGAAGAATCACGAAAAAAGATTCCCCAGCAATTAGACACATCTTAGATAATACAATTTAAAAACAAAAAGAAAAAGAAATGACAACAAAACCACTCAGAGATACAAATTTTGACTTGAAATAGAATTTTGAGTTAGCTAGCAAAGAAATAACGGTCAGCCATGACATCCCCAAATCCAGATTTCTCGAAAGGATGATGCAATTTAGATTTAAAACTTTCTATAAAGTTCCCCTTGGGAATCAAAGTTTTAACCCCATTTTGGTTTTTGTTGCAATTCCTTCAAAAGAAAACATGGAAGGAGGAAGAATGGCAAGCTGTGTCTCATGTCAGCACAGCAGTGCAATTACTACCTTGCCAATATCTCACTATGGCTCTGTTGTTTGCGTTTAAGATATTATATTTTATTGTTTGCGTTGAAGACTTTATTGCCAGAGAAAGTTTTTCCTTTCACTGCCCAGAAAAAGACAACTGTATTGAAACCAGAATGCTTCCATTAGCAGAGTATGACATTCCACTGAGAAGAAATTGGGTCATGTACTTGAAACATGATTTATTCAGATGTTTTGCTGCACTCCAAATGGAGCTCATTTTCTGCCCTGTTCAGCAGAAAATATGTACAAGATTCTGCAGAGGGAAAGCTGCAGAAGGTCACCAAGGCATTTTCCACAAAAGCCTGAGTTATTTAGCAGGAAACACTTTGAGTCCACAAAAATATTTTTATAAAGTGTGTAATTCCCTTTTGTAGCGTGTTTCTGAGGGATAAAGGTATTGGACTTACTTTTTCACCTTCTTTTTAGCAGACCTCAGAATCTCTTTTAAAAGAGCTGAAACTCATTTTAGTGGAAAACATCTTTTAATTTTCTAGAGTTAATCCATCTTTCAAATATAGCAATGACGAGATACACATTAGCCAAAGCCAAAACTTTGCAACACTCTAGGACAGAAATCGGTCAGCCTCGTACCCAGACTTCACTTGACACATGGACGCTTACGCTGATTCTCTTCAATGGCATTGAACCTATTTACAAGATGTGATACTAATTTTATGTGAGTGGGGGGGATGGATTTCAGCAGTATATAGAGTTTGGCATCTCTTATTCAAGATGATATTCTCAAGGGGATTTTATCCCAGCTGAGCCAGATATTTCACAACAAAAAACTCACATGCTGACAGAACCAGGAAATACTTTCGGTTTTTGTTGGGTTGATTTTTTCGTAGGCGCTCTCCTCGTGGCCCAGTCCCTCGTGGGAGATGGGAACTGCACTACTAAGAGGTGCACACTCGCTTCGTCCGTACCTGGACGTCTCACTCATGCACACACCGGGATCCCAACCCCAACCGAACAGATCTCAGTTTCGCAATATACTCACGTCCTCGTTTCTGTCCTCTTCATTTGGGCTTCGTGCACAAAAATTAAGGGGTTGCCGGCTTCACCTTTTATCTGCTATCTAATTTTAGGTTTGTCGGTGGAGAAGCTGGCGGAATGAACCACAAACAGGGGGCCACTCTGTGAGTGGGCCACCCCCACCTAGGATGTGAGTCCCGTCAGGATTTCTCCATCTGAGTCACAGCACCAATTTGTTATCAATAATAGAGCCAATTTCGGTTTAAAGTATAAATTTTATTAAACTGAGCAAGCGATAGCAGATAAAACAGCGCTGGGTGCGCCGGGGAGTCCTCCTCTCTGCCCAAGACGCACACACAGTCTCTGGGAGGTGGTCCTTTATATGTCTCGGCTCAAGGCCCCAGCCAATCCTGCTGCCCCTCCTCACTCGGATGTTGACATGGCTCTTCCCCGTTGGTTCCCTTTGTTGCAGGGGCCTCATCGTCGAGAAGTTTCGAGAAGCTTCCAGAGGCTTTGAGAAGCGTCCACTACCAGCCTCCTCACCCTTGCAACCCCCATCCCTCATATGTTGCAACAAGACCCAACTTCGAGCCACCCAACCCCCTTCTTTTCCCCCACACAATCCTGTGCAATAATACAACTGACCTCACCCCCCATAACGCACGGAGTAGTTACAAAACTAAAAGAATATGGTTCCACACAGCGACAGCCACAGAGAGCCTCCCTCCCCCCCCCCAAACTTCTTGATGAACAAACCCCACACATTACAACCAGAGTAATAGTCACTCGTCACAATGCTGATTTATTGGCTCTCAGAGTTGTTCCTCTTGATCTCACAGTTTCAGAATGCTGTAACTTACTTAGACCTGGTATTCGCTGTGTTGGTGTTTATCAAGTGTGGGGCTTGGGCTAAGTTTTTTGTCTCACTGTGCTTTATGGCAATGACTTGTAATACGGGCGGGCTCCAGCAGCAGGGGGGGACGGACGTGGCTGTGGACTTGTACCTGGCCGTCCGGCTGCTCTTCACCGTCCTGGCCCTCGCCCTCGCCTCCGTCTTCGTGAGGCCGCGGGGAGCTGACGGGGAGTGACCCCGGGACCAAGCGGCGGCGGGAGCAGGGCCGGAGGCCGCGAGGGGACGGCTGCCGGTGGAGGAGGTCGGGGCGGTCGAGGAGAGGAAGGAGGCGTCTGCCGAGCAGCGGGAGAAGGTGGCGGAGGAGCCGAGCCACACGGAGGAGCCGAGCCCCGTGACGGCCGAGAACATTCCCCGCAGCTGCCCGCCGAGCCCCAGGAGGATGCAG